TCCTCTTCTCTGTCCCAGGATTTTGTTTGTTCTGATACCTATTCCGGCTTGAGATAGGATTTGTACATGATATCACAGTTTTTCTGAGTTCATATGTGAATTAGCCCTGCTTGTTTGAAAGATTTTATTTTCTTGGAATCATGTACTACTTCTGGCTCTTACAACTTTTCTTCTTCCTCTCCTGTATAGAAATCTGAGCCTTGACCGAGGGGTTTTATATAACTATCCCACTTGGAGTTGAGCACTCTAAGATGTTTCAGTCTATCAACTTTGTCTAGCTGTGAGTCTCTATATTAATTATTATTTAATGCAGAAAGTGTATCTTATATGAGTGTTGAGTGAAGCTCTCCTGGATATAGCAATGTTTCTTTAGTAATCATTTTACTGCTTTGCTCATTTATTACAATGTTATCAAGATTTCTATTAGGGCCCAGTGTCTACCTAATCATGTCCTTGTACTTTTTTCTCAATTTTAATGTTTATTTCCATACAGCTGTCTTTATTCATATTAGTTGGCCTTTCTCTGCTACCTGTTCCAATTTGGCTAGAGAATATCCCCCATGGCCCCATGCATTTGAATACCTGGTCCCAGGCTAGTAGTAATGTTTTGGGACATTTCAGAGTCAAGGTCTAGCTGGAAGTGGATTTCTGTGATGTGGGGCTGAGGGACTTGAGATGCATAGACTGGTACTATATTAGAGTTACATCATTTGGTAAGTTCAGATACAACTACAATGAAGGTAGGAAGTATCCCCTTTCCCTTGTGTCTCCAACTACTTCCAGTTTCCTCCTGACAGTCTTCTCCCAACTTCAAGGCCCTTTATCTTCCTTCCTCTTTTATAATACATAGAGCACAATTAGTGGTACCCCTATGTACATGGGCCAGTCCCTGGAGGATGGGCAACCTGCCAGGTACCACACCACTGAAGAAAACTGGCTTTCCCTCTCTCAACAGCCATAACTGGCCAGAAACTCATCAGTTATGGTAGATTTGGTCTATTCCATTCATGCTGGAGTATTGATTGGCTAGATCTTGTGCAGATCACCTAATTTTAATTTGATCAAAGAGTTCTATATCTCTGAGTAGCTTTATCATACTTATTTTATCATCTACATCTTAAGTTCCTTTAAAAAGCATTAGAAGTTATCTTTCTTTTTTTCCTTTGTTTCCATTTTTTATTTCAATTAGAAACCAGATTATTTTACATGCCAATCCCAATTCCCTCTGCCCCTCCTCCTCCCTTGACTCCCCCAACTAACACCCTACCTATCCCATACACTTTCTGCTCCCCAGGAAGGGTGAGGCCTTCCACAGGGGGTCTGTCATATCCTTTGGGATAGAGCCTAGGCTCACCCCCTTGTGTCTAGGCTCTGGGAGTATCCCTGCATGTGGAAAGGACTCCCAAATTTCATTCTTTGCTAGGGATAAGTACTGATCTACTACAAGACATCTGACAGAGGGATGATAACAGTGTTAATAAGTTTGGGTTTTACATAGACCTTGAAGTGGGCCTCACATACAATCACAAAGTGGCTGGTTGCTGTCATAGCACATGTGCCACTATTGCACCAATATGCCTTTCAAGCAGGGCAATAGGTTGTGGAGTAAACAGCTGGGTGCAAATGATGAATACTTTTTTTCTCTCATAGTAAAACTAATACATTGCAGAACTATGAACACTGATAAGTAGGGATGTAGCTTTCAGGTGAGCATCATCTGGATTTCTCTGTGTTAAATGACATAACTATGAGATATATTTGCTAATACAGCCTTACCAATAGGCTGGGAAGGGCATCCAATAACATTGAAGAGAGCCTCTAAGATTTGAAGGTGGTATAGTGGGGATATTACTTCCTAGATTATGGTGTCTAGTTGGGGCATCTCTCCCCTCCCCCCAATTAAATAATAGTTTTATTTAAATTCATTTTATATAGTTGAGGAAACTTCTAGAATAATGTGTTTCAATGTGACTTTTGCAAAGGCCTTTGCTGTTGTTTATACTTCCCCAAATTTCCTCCTTTAATCTGCCCTCCCATCCTCTTTCCCCTGCTCTTACAACCTCTTTACCCTCCCTCCTATCCTATTTACCCTCACTCTCATTTCATAGTTTTTAAAAATAACACAATTTAAATAAACTTCTAACAATAATCACACTCTAATTTGAATAGGAAATAATTCTTTTACTTGGTTACTAAATTATGTACTTAAAATTATTTAAATTATTTATTTCTGTTTATTAAATCACTTATCTGAAATACTTATTTTTATTTATTTTATCTGTGCCTTTCACATCATCCCTCCCAATACAATCATCTACCATCCCACCACAAAATTAAACAAAATAAAATTTAAGAGAAAAAGAGGAAATTTTAAAAAGGAAGGAAAAAAGTAAGAAGGGAAAAACTATTGTTTAAAGAACCATAATTGCTAGTGGGCTGCTGTTTTTTTTTTTTTTGTTGACTGTGTCCTTTGCCTTACAAAAGCTTCTCAGTTTCAGGAGGTCCCATTTATTAATTGTCAATCTCAGTGTCTGTGCTACTGGTGTTATGTTCAGGAAGTGGTCTCCTGTATCAATTCATTCGAGGGTACCACCTACTTTCTCTTCTAAGAGGTTCAGTGTTGCTGGATTATTGTTGAGGTCTTTGATCCATTAGGGCTTAAGTTTTGTGCATGGTGATAGATATGGATCTATCTGCAGTCTTCAACATGCCAGCATCCAGTTATGCCAGCACCATTTGTTGAAGATGCTTTCTTTTTACCATTGTGTAGTTTTGTATAGTTTTAGCTTCTTTGCCAAAAGTCAGATGTTCATAGGTGTGTGAGTTAATATCGGGGTTTTCAATTCAATTCCATTGGTCTACTTGTTTATTTTTGTGCCAAGCTGTTTTCAGGACTATCGCTCTATAATAGAGCTTCAAGTCAGGGATGGTGATGCCTCTAGGCTTTCCTTTATTGTACAGGCTTCTTTTGGCTATCCTGGGTCTTTTGTTTTTCCATATAAAGTTGAGAATTGTTCTTTCAAGGTCTGTGAAGAATTGTACTGGGATATTGATGGGTAATGCATTGAATTTGTAGATTGCTTTTGTCCAGATTGCCATTTTTACTATGTTTATCCTACCTATCCAAGAGCATGGGAGATCTTTTCATTTTCTGGTATCTAATTTTTTTCTTTAAAGACTCAATGTTCTTGTGATTCAGTTCTTTCACTTGTTTGGTTAGCGTTACCTCAAGGTATTGTATGTTGCTTGTGGCAATTTTAAAGGGTGATGTTACTATGATTTCTTTATCAGCCCATATTCACCAATACCACATCTGACAGAGGGCTGATTTCCAAAAATATACAAAGAACTCAAGAAACTAGTTGCCAAAACTCCAACTAATCCAATTAAAAAGTGGGGTACAGAACTAAATAGAGAATTCTCAACAGAAGAATCTAAAATGGGTGACAGACACACAAAAAAGTGCTCAACATCCTTAGCTACCAGGGAAATGCAAATCAAAGCAACTCTGAGATACCATCTTACTCATGTCAGAATGTCTAAAATCAAAAACACCAATGATAGGTTATGCTGGAGAGGATGTGGAGAAAGGGGAACACTCCTCCACTGCTGGTGGGAGTGCCAACTCATGCAGCCACTTTGGAAATCAGTATGGCAGTTCCTCAGGAAAATGGGAATAAGTCTATCACAAGATCCAGGAATTCCACTCTTAGGCACATACCCAAAAGATGCACATTCATACAACAAGGACGTCTGCAAAACCATATTCATAGCAGCATTGTTTGTAAAAGCCAGAACCTGAAAGCAACCTTGATGTCCCACAACTGAAAAATGGATGGAGAAAATGTGGTATGTTTACACAATGGAGTACTACTCAGAGGGGAAAGAAAACAACAGCAATTGAATCTTGAAATTCCCAGGTAAAAGGATGGAACTAGAAGAAACCATCATGATTGAGGTAACCCAGTCACAAAAAGATAAAAATGATATGTAGTCACTCATATAAGGATTTTAGATAAAGAGGAAATGAATAGCAGCCTATAATCCACACTGTCAGAGAAGCTAGGAAACAAGGAGGACCCCAAGAGGGACATGCATGGTCCCCCAGAGAATAGGAAAGGGACAATATCTCCTGAGATAATTGGGAGCACAGGGGAGGGAAGAGGGAGCAAGAAGAAAGAGAAGAAATAGAGAGGGAGAATAGGAGGGGAGAGGAGGAAGTGAGAGAGCAGGAAGATTTAGTTGGGGGAAGAATTGAAGAGAGCAACAAGAGAGATACAGCAATAGGGGTAGCCATTACAGGTTGAAAGAGAATTCTGGCACTAAGGCAATTTCCAGAGATGTACTAGTTTGATGCCAATTAACAATCTAAGCTGTGGTTTAGAGGCTACCTTAAATGCACTTCTCCGATGATATTTATGACTACCTTATATGCCATCCTAGGGCCTCCATCCAGTAGCTGAAGGAAGCAGAGGCAGACATGCACAGCTAAACAATGAGCTGAACTCTGGAATCCAGTCACAGAGAGTAGGATGATAAGCAAAAGGGTCAGAACCAGACTGGAGAAAACCACAGGGACAGCTGACCTGAACAAGAGGTTGCTCATGGACCCCAGTCTGATAGCTTGGAAACCAGCATAGGACTGTTCCAGTATGCCAGTTTGGAGGTCTAAGCAATCTATGGGGCTTCTGGTAGTGGATCAGTATTTATCTGTAGTATAAGAATAGATTTTTTGGAGCCTTCTCCACATAGACACACAGGGTAGTGTCTACGAAGTGCTCCAAATGATATGAAAAAGTTTTAAGATCCCTTATGGAAGGCTCACCCTCCCTGGGGAGCAAAAAGGATTGGGATGGTGGGTGGATGGGGACAAGGAAGGAGGGGAGGGAGAGGAAACTGGGATTGACATGTAAAAGAAGCTTGTTTCTAATTAAAAAAAATAATTGGTAGTATGTCTTAGTTAGGACTTCCATTGCTGTGAAGGGACACCATGATGATGCCAACTCTTATAAAAGGAAAACATTTAATTTGGTGGCTTATAGTTCAGAGGTTCAGTCCATTATCTTCATGGTGGCACGTGGTGGCACACAGACAGACATGGTGCTATAGAGGAAGCTGAGAGTTTTTCATCTTGATATGCAGGTAACTGGAAGGGAACTGGGACCCGGGGGGTGGCCTGAGTGTATAGATCTCAAAGCCTGCATCCACAGTGACATACTTCCTCCAACAAAGTCACACCTATGACAAGGCCATACCTACTTATAGTACCACTTCCTATAAGCTTATGTTGTCCAACTGCATTCAAACTACCACAGGTAGTATTTACAAACAACAATATCCTACAGAAATACTCAATGAAATACATAAATGAAATTCAGTTTTTCCTAAAAGGTATAAGCCCATATTGAAATCACACATGGAACCTCTCTTGTGTATTGGAACTACTATATGTAACATGCAAAACATGTCTTAAATCTATCACAGAATGGCTAAAATCAGTCACCTCTCCATATATCCTGATTCCTTTCCATGGAGAAATGTATTTAGAAGCAAGGCATGTTCATATAGTAAGATTAGGGACAGTAAAATGTCTGTGATCTGAAGTTGCTTTTTTAAAAAATTTATGGCTCCAACAATAAGATATTTTTCATGAGTCATATTTTGATTGACTTGAACAACTCAAAGAATAACATATCTTTAATACACTATTCATATTATGACAATATTAGCTATTGACAGGAATATGTCAGAAAGACTATGAAAGTGTTTCTTGTTTGGGATAATGGCATCAGTTGCAGAGCTCATCACATTGTTTCCTCTAATTCAGAAATGCTGGCTGCCCCATTGTTCTCTGGATCTGTGTTTTTTGGGGAGCCTAAGAATGGGCCTTTCAGAATGTTGCTTGTCTTCTGGGTTTTAGTTAATTTTAAAACTTACCCAGTTCCAAGTGCTCAACTATGTATGAATGGTTTGCTTGTATTAACCTCACATCACTCAAGGCTCAAGAAACTTCAGGAATGAAGGTCTTAAAGATGTAAGATCAGATAAATGGGAGGGGAGCTTACACACCATGACTTTTGTAGAAACCATGGTGGTAGAACACAAAAATCTAAAGTATCTTGTGATCCCCTTCCGAGATCAAGTCTGTCAAAATTTCACCACAGATGATGGAGGGGCTCCAAAAGCTCTACTCTTGAAGTTAAATAAGTTATTGGCAATTGATGACTCCTGAAGAAAAATAGGCTATAACTTGAAATGGAGTGAGGAGGATGACACAGGTAGAGTTGAATAAAGGAAAGCAGAAAGAGATAATCACATTTTAATTAAAATATTTTAAAAGTTATAATGCCAAATTACATAAATCAATAATCTTGAACTATGACTTTTTTTTTTTACCATTTTGTGTTTGTTTTCTCAGAATTATACTTTTGAAATCTATCCATGTTGACATAAGTTGGAGTAGGCAGGTCTTCTAGAATTGCCTTTTGTGACTACACACTTTAGATTCTCCTCACACCGATGGCTTCTTAGGAATTCTGCCAAAGTTTTGCTTCCTATGACCCTTACAATGCACATTTTTTTTTAAAAAAAAAACTAAATAAGCATTTGTTCTACCACCAAACATTTCATTTTTGCTCATATATCCTACTCTTGATGGTAAAAATATGTTTTCAGTTTTAAGAGTGGAAAAGTTTAGTAATCAGTTCTATCTCTTACTTTGTCTCTGTGTCTTTGAGAGATAGTGAGACAAACAAAATGGGACAGAAAATCATCCAATTCCTGGTGAAGTCAGGTACCAGATCAATCATAAGATGAATATTTCCCTGAAATATATTAAAAGAATATCTCATTCATTCAGAATTATTCATTACATCTTAACAGAAGTAGGACTATTAGAATGTATTAAAAATAGAAATAGCAAATATAGATTTCCTACTTAGAAAAATAGTTAATGCATACACACAAACCTCAGTCTCCCTCATTTCCTGGCTGTCACAGAACTTTAAATTATTCTAATATAGGGCACCAATTAGGTCATGGTTGTTTTGAGATAGTTATTGTCTTTCAAACACAGTGCAATCATTATGGCATTTATAGCCCTACTCTGGAGTTTTTCCTTACAGGATTTTTCCTCCAAATCACTCTGACCTGTTGATAATTTAAATCTAACAACCTGATTAGGTGAACAGAGGCATTATAGAAACTAACTAGTATATTAGACAACCAAACAAGGTCAGAGGAGAGAAGAAGGGATGGTGTTAGTGAGATAATTACCTTTTTCTTGGCCCCTAATGAATTCATTTACTAATGCTTGTAATATTAGATTGACAACTTGTAATTTATCTAATTGTTCCATAAAATTTCAGTGCAATTCTGAAGAAAAAAACAAGAAACAAACAAAATCTGAGGTGTAGTTCTAGCATCTTCAAGTATACAAAATAATTTTCTAAAGACATTTTTTCTAAGAAGTGGGCAACTTAAAATTAAAAAATGCAATATATACTGAAATAGAAATATTTTAAAGTAACTGGGTCATTTTTCCTGGTCAAATTTAAATAAAGTACAAATAACGTGCTCATTTCTCTTGGGAAAACAGTTGGCTGACTTGTGTATGAATGAAAATACTAATTCTAACATTTTAAAATTAAGTCTATCAAGAGAAGTTAAGTTTTGGTGCTGTAAAACATGCTGATATTGTTTGATTAACATTTTTATTTTATTTATGTATTTTAAAAGTGTTGTCAAAACTGTAGTTGCATGCATGGTTGTAAGAAATGATACTGAGCAATCCTATGAATACAACTCCAGTCCGAATTAAAACACATTAAAACCCTCAGCCCAATTTCATAAGCAGGGCTATTTGAGGGTTCATCACTTCCCACTGCCCTTTAAAATCCATATGCATCTCCCTGTTACCCTGGAGCAGACCCTTTTGTCATCACTTTAAGGACATTTAATGAATGGGATCTCACAGTTCTTGAACATTGAATAATGGCTTTTTTTCCACTCCATATTATTCTTAGAAATATATCCACTTTGTTTTGATCATCAATAATACATTCGTATTATTGCTGAGGAAGATGTTCCATTTGTTGTTTAATCACTCACCTCTTGAAAGGTGTCTGCATCATTTCTTGTTTGGTGCCTTTGTGACTACTTAAGGCACACCAATGGGACAGTTTTCACTAAAAATACATTCTTTTGTTTCTTGAGAAGAAGACATAATAGTGCCATTTTATGGTCCATATGTTAGGTGAATGCTTATATTAATTTGGAAATTCCAAACTGTTTATGTAGTTGCTTTATTGGGTTAAAACCCTACCTTCAGGTGCAAGTCCTCCAGGTTCTCTTAGTCCTCACAGAGTGTGTGGGTTTCAGTTTTTGCATTAATCATTTTGATTGGAGTATGGTCACTGCTTACTGTTACTAATACCTGTTTCTGTTGCATGAATAATAAAATCCCAAAGACAGACATTGGAGTTCAAGCTGATGATCAGAAAAGCAAAGCAGCCAGTGCTCAAGAGTTCTCACCTCTAGCAATGCTCAGACCACAGGGGTGATCCCCTAAACCTCAGATTGCATCTGCAGACTGCACTGCCCTCCATCAAGTCTCAGGATCCCAGACTGCTATGCTCTCCTCATCGTGACTGGAGACTAATTGCCACACGAGACCCTTTTCTTCTTCCTTATATACATCTCTAGTGCTAGGATTAAAGGTGAGAGCTCTGTTAATCTTTTGGACTGATTCACTCTTGTGTAACCCAGGGTGGTCTTGGATTCACAGAGATCCATTTGCTGTCTTCTGAGTCCTGGGATTAATGGTGTGTGCCACCACTGCCTGGCCTCTATGGCTGGCTAGTATGGATGCTGGGATTAAAGTAATGTATCACCACTGTCTGGCTCTATGGCTATGCCTAGCTTTGCATTTTGACCTCCAGTGGCTTTATTAAGTCATAAATAATATATCACCACATGTTTCAGTGATGGCTAATGACTTTAACATATTTTCACAGACATACTACCTGAATATGTTTTTCCAGAAGGTCCACCATGGTTTTGTCTCATTTATATTCAGAGTTTTATCTTTCTTGTGAGATGAAGAGAATTTTGTATGCTCTTCAAATAAAATTTTTGTAAGTTAATGAAGCTGGCAAATAATCTTTCAGTCAATATGTTACAATTTATAGTCATGTTGGATTATGGCTCAGTAATTTTGAAAAATCAATCTGTTTATTTTGTTCTTTTTATTTTTTGAGGCAACTATTTATTTATATGTAACTCAGGCTGTTCTAGTTCCTGTAATATACATCACACCTGGTAATAAATTATTTTTCATTTGACATACCAACTTGAGTTCCCTCTCCTTCTCCTGCCCGCTACCTCTCCCCTTCCCATCCCCCTTCTACTCCTCATAGGCAGTAAAGCCTTCCATTGGGAGTCAACAAAGTCTGCATACCAAGTTGAAGCAGGACCATTCTGCCACCCCCTGCATATCAAGGCTGACCAAGGTATTCCACTTCAACTCCCCTCAAAAAGATTAAGCTATATAACTGTCACTCACATTCAGAGGGACTAGTTTAGTCCCATGCAGGTTTCCCTGCTGTCAGTCCATAATCCATTAACACCCACTATCTTGGGTCAGCTATCTCTGTGGTTTTTCCCCATCGTAGTCTTAACCTTCCTTGTTCATATGATCCCTCCTCCCTCCTTTTGATTGAATTCCAGGAGCTCAGCCCAATACTTGCCTGTGGGTCACTGCTTCTGCTTCCATCAGTTACTGGATGTAAGTTTTATGATTACTAGGGTAGTCACTAATCTGATTATAGAGGAATTTGTACAGCCACTTTGGAAGTCAGTATGATGGTTTCCAAGAAAATTCAGAATCAATCTACCTCAAGCCCCAGCAATTCCACTCTTGGGCATATAACCAAAGTATGCACAACCATAGCACAATGCAGCATTATTTGTTAGCAGAAACTGGAAACAACCTCGGTCATTCATTTTTATGGGTGTCTTTGGAATCAAACATTATCACTCTTGGCTGTCTCCAAGAGTCTCAGGATGTTTTATAGTCTTTGTGATAAAGGAAAAGCTCCTAGTGTAGAACCTCCATCATGTCTGAATTTTGAAAGTTATAAAGGTTTAGAGTTATGGTCAAAACTTGGACACAAGCTACCTTAATTTTCTTACATTTTATTATACTTTTCCCTAAGTAGACATGTGTGCAGTTGTATTATTTGCTAGAATATAGCAATATAGTCATATTATTTGCAGCAATGTAACTAGAATTATACAAAATTTATATCAGTGTTATAAGAAAATGGATCAAACCCCACATTTCATTGAGGATTCCATAACATGGGTGAAGATAAACAAATCCAGTTAGGCTAGGTGAGACATAAAACTTGCAAGGATTAAGTGCAACATGATAATATTTATATGGGAACAATGCAATTCAAATGGTCATACATTTCTCACTTATATTTTTTTCTAGAGCATACCTTACTTGTGTTTTAAATCTACAAACAATGTTAATTGGCATGGATGAATATGAAACTGATAAGATGCAAATAAATTTCTTCTTATTAAAACAGGCAAAATGATTTTATTAACAAATTTCTTATTTATATATGTGTTTTCTTTTTTGTTTATTTTTTGTTTGTACATATAACCACATTTTCTCATGTCTCCTATCTTCCCCTCTCTATCACCCACTCATCCTCCTCTGTTACTCTTCAGATAGGGAATTGCCTCCCATAGGTAACTAGCCATGGTATATCAAGTTGCAGTGGGACTAGACAGCTCCTCTCTTATTACTGAATGTGGCAATCTGGTAGGAAGAAAGGGTCTTAAAAGCAAATAACAGTCAGAAACTGTTGCTGGAGTTTTCTTGTCCAGCCAGGTCCCACAGCCCTTCAGCCCCAAATAATCACACAGGATGATATATGAATTATAAAATTATTGGCTGATGGCTAGGACTTCTTATTGGCTAGTTCTCTCATAATTATTAATCCTTAACTACTAATCTATGTATTTCTACATGGCCTTATCTTAGCAGAGAATGCCTGGTGAGTCCTGTATTCTAGTCTCTAAATGGAGTCCTCTGTGGTGCCCTCCCTCCCTACCTTTCCCAGAATTCTCATCTCCTAGCCCTGCCTATGTTCTTGCCTCTATTGGCCAAACAGCATTTTATTCATGAAAAAATAAGAGAAACATATATACAGAAGGACATCCCTCTCAAAAGACAGGCCCTGATCCCATGAGTTCAACGAGCTACACAGCTGTGGCCCATGTGCAGAGGGCTTATGTTGCCTGCTTGTCAGTTCAATCTCTATGAACCGAGATTGGGTGATTCTGTGGTTTTTGTTTTTTTGTTTTTGGTGACCTACTGGCTCCTACAATTTTGCCCTCCCCTCTTCTGCAGGATTCCCCCAGTTCTGCCTAATGTTTGGCTGTGGGTCTCTGCATCTGTTTCCCTCAGTTGCTGGGTGAAGCCTCTCTGATGACAATTGGGCTAGGCTCCAATTTATGAGTGTAGCAGAATATCATTATGAATAATTTTATTGCTTCTAGTTTGGTTCTAATCTAGGTCTCTAGACTATCCTACCTCTGGATCCTGGCCTTCAGGTGTGGGCACCCTGTAATGGCATGGATTTCAAGCAGGGCCAGTCATTGGTTGGTCATTCTGACAATTTCAGAGCCAGTTTTACACCAGTAAATCTTATAGGGAGGATAAATATTAGGTGTACAGGTGTACCAGTCCCTCCACTAGAAGTCTTACCTGGTTACATGAAATGGCTAGTTTGGGATCTTTATCCCTCATTGCTAGGCGTGTTAGTGAGGGTCACTCCCATACATGGATAGAAGTTTCCATTGTACTAGGTTTCCAGATCACCCCAGAGAGGCCCCCAGATTTCAATTGTCTCTCAGTAATCTCTCCTTCCATCATCCCCCTTCTTGAACTTTCCTGTTCCTTGCCTATGCTGCCTATACAGGCCCCTTCCCGGGTTTCTTCTTTTTCCCCTTCACAGTGATATTAATGTTACTTAGCTTCTCTGGGTCTTTGGATTATAGCATGGTTATCCTTTACTTTATGGCTAATATCAATTTGTAAGTGAGTACATATCATGTTAGTTTTTCTGTATCTGGGTTACCTCACTCAGGATGATCTTTTCTAGTTCCATCCATTTGCCACCAAATTTTATTATATCATTGATTTTTAACAGCAGAATAATACTCCATTTTATAAATTTACCACATTTTCTTAATGTTGGAGATAGCATCTAGGTTGTTTCTAATTTCTGGCTATTATGAATAAAGCTGCTATTAAACATAGCTGAGTAAGTGTCCTTGTAGTATCTTGGAACATTCTTTGGGTATATAACCAAGAGTGGTGTAGTGGCATATTGAGGTAGATCTATTTTCAATTGTCTGAGAAAATTCTATATTGATTTCCAAAGTGGTGGAACAATCTTTTACTCCCATCAGCGTTGGAGGAATGTTCCCCTTGCCCCATACCCTGTCACTTGTGTTTATTATCTTAGTCTTTCTGATGAGTATATGATGTCAGAGTCATTTTTATTTGCATTTCCCTGATGGCTCAGGATGTTGAACATTTCTTTAAGGGTCTCTGCAACATTTGGGTTTCCTCTGTTGAGAATTCTCTGTTTTGATCTGTAACCCATTTTAAAATTGGATTATTTGGTTGTTTAATATCTAGTTTCTTGAGTTCTTTGTATGTTTTGCCAATCAGCCCCTTGTCAGAAATGAAGTTAGTGAAGATCTTTCCCCTTTTTGTAGGCTGCCATTTTGTCCTTTTAATAGTGTCTTTTTCTTTACAAATACTTTTCAGTTTTATGAGGTCCCATTTATTGTCAACATTAGTGCCTCTGCTATTGGTGTTCTGTTCAGGAAATTGTCTCTTCTGCGAATACATTCAAGGTCCCCTTTCTTTTCCATCAGGTCCAGTGTATCTTGTTTTATGTTGATGTCATGTCTTTTATCCACTTGGACTTGAGTTTTGTTTAGGGTAGCAGATATGAATCTAGTTGCATTTTCCTCCAGGGTGGCATCAAGTTAGACCAGCACCATTTGTTGAATATGCTTTCTCTTTTCCATTGTATAATTTTAGCTTCTTTGTCAAAAATCAAGAGTCCATAGGTGTGTGGATTTACTTGTGAGTCTTCCATTCAATTCCATTGATCACCCAGTCTGTGTTTATGCCAATACAATGAAGTTTTTATTACTATAGTTCTTCAGTACAGCTTGGTGTCTGTGTTGGTGATAAGTCCCGAAGTGTCTAATTGTTCAGGATTGTTTTGAGCTATCCTGTTTTTTTTCCACATGAAGTTGAGTATTCTTCCAAGGTCAGTAAAGAATTGTATTGCAATTTTTATGGGAATTGCATTGAGTCTGCAAATTGCTATTGATAAGGTAGTCATTTTTTATATGTTAACCCTACTGATCCCTGAGCATTGTTCCATCTTCTAATATCTTCTTCAATTTCTTTCTTCAAAGACTTCATATTCTTATTATATAGATCTTTTACTTTCTTGGTTAGAGTTATACCAATATATTTTATTTTATTAGTGGTATTGTGAAGGGCATTTTTTCTCAGTCTCTTTATAGTTTGCATATAGGAGGACTATTGATTTTTTTAAATTTATTTATTAGTTCTAGTTAGGGAACAAGCTTGT